AACTAACCCAACCGTAGTTTATCATCATTTGTGATACTTCTAATACACTATTTAATAACTAATTAAAAACCTTACCACTGAGCTATTGCTTTAAAACCAAGGGAAATTTATCATGTTGGAAACATTATTCTATATGGTAGCTTTCAAAGCCTTTCCAGAATTGTCCTGGCTAATTTTTCTCATTATCAAGGACATCTGGGATCTTCCCTTTAAGGAAAAAAAAAATTACCATAAGTGTTTCTCTATGAGGCAGTACTCAGCATCTTCCCTGAGCTAGGTGCTCCAAAAGAACAGATAGCACCAGAAGACCAGAATAGATAGAAAAAAGATAACACCAAAAGACAGATAACAAAAGCATGCAGGGTGAAAAAAAAAAAAAAGTTCTTAGAAGAATTTTCACAGCTTTGCACATGTTTTAAAAAAAGCAGCACCTAGTTAAGGCAAGGGAGAACAAACCACAGGGACCAGTCCTATGGAGTAGGGAGGGATGCCCTGAGGATCTTTTAACAGTCGCTGGCACCAGCTGGGAATGCACACTGGCTCTGGGCTGAGGTGGAGCAGGGACATGGCATCTCCCCTGCTCCCGAGCCCATCACTGTCGGCTCCCTGGGGACAAAGCTCTACCCTTCCTGCAGTAAACTGGGGACAAAGCTCTCCCTACCCAGCCCTCCGGCATGCACATGCAGGTCAGCTGGAGCCACTGCAACCACAGAGGTTCCACAACAAGCGAACTCCACACCGAAGGTGCCCTTGTTGGCAGTAAATTAAGGCTTGGGAGCAGGACATGCTGTGCTGGGATAAATCCCACCTTCCGCTCCCGTACCGCACCTATACTGCAGGGCTGTACCCGCGGTGTGGAAGAAAACCCAAGTGCATTGGATGCCCTCTCTGCAGACATTACTGGTCCCAGCTCCAGCAGGCACCTTGCACAGCCACTGTCTGCTTCTAGAAGTCTTTAAGGATTTTAAAGTCTGCAAATATCCAGAATTTTTTTTTCCAACATGGATATGAAAAAAACAAATGCAGCAACTGGGTAAGAGTGCTTGTGAGAGCTAAATACACTCAGCACAACCCGGTCGCCAAAGCTTGGGAGAGACCAGTAGAAGACGTTTGGAGAGCAGAGGGTATCTCGGGTGTAATTAACAGACACTGGGGGATATAACCCTATTTCAGATAACCTGGAGATTCAGATAATTTGGCCTCAGATAATCAAGGCCACACTGTTAATAGGAACAGTATCACAACTCCTAACGGCAATGTTCCCCACGTGCCGATGCTATACGTCCTTGCATGAAAATGCCTAGTGAAATATGAATTAGCAGTTTGATACATGCCTGTATTCTCTCTCAACCGCCAGGCTGGGCAGCAAACCCTGTTTCTGATGCACCACTTTGGCTGGCTGCTTGGGAAATAGGTTAAGGCAGAGAAGTGGATTGCAGCCCCGGATGCCTGGGGACGAGGCTGTCTCAGAGCTGATGGGCTAGGTAAGCTCTATTTTGAAAGTGGGTTAATTTAACTGCCATTCAACTACCATTAAATGATGTAGGTTAATTTTATAGTCAGATAACTATTAAGAAACCAAAACATAAGGCAGGAAATGTCTCTATGCATGCCAGTGGGGAGAGGTTTCCTCTGCACTAATGCACACCCCTCCCCTTCAGCTCAAACCTCTCATCCTTCCATTTCTGCACATCCTTCGCATCATATCTTTTTTTTTTTTTTTTTTAAACCCTTGTCATTGCAAACTATTGTCCTTCCTCCCACTCTTAAGAGCATCTATTCTCCTCTCAAAAATTCACCTCGGTATCCCGGCCTACAATTATTTTTCTCCTTTGTTTATATGGTCACACATCTCAATGTTAAAGGAGGACTAACAAATATCACAGCTCATGTTCACTAAAAAAGGTCCCATCTCCCCCACATACCTGATATTTATCGAGCTACATGGAAAACTGAGGCAGGGAACTTCACCTTGCTTACTGTGTAACATGCCATCACCACTAACACACCCAGCTTTCTTTAGGGTTATTTACTGTATTTAAAGCATCCTTGATTTTGTCAGTTTACCCTTTATAATTGGATGCTGCAGTTAAAACATACTTTATCTCTGTGCAATTTTTATTCCCACAGGATAATGATAGGCATTGTTTATTTCTTTATACTGGGGACAAAACCCATAGTTTGCTGGTTTGCCATAAAGTGAAAACTAAAAGGAAAATAAATTATCAACAACATCTTATGCCTGCAAAGGAAAAGATCCTTTGGAAAAAGCCGAAGTGACTCATCATGCCCCACACATGGCGAGGAAGGAGCAAGCACCACAGCCAGGCAGATCCCTCCCGAGATGCCTTCACAGATTGCCTCCCTCTGACTTCTCCACCTCCCTGGTCCCACTGCTCCCACCAGCAGCAAAATGAGTCCCTAACCTTCGCAGAGGAAACTGAAGAAATGCTGGCCCATTAGCACACGCTGCCCATCAAGCACTCACGGATCTCCTCTACCGCAGATGGTTTTTATCGTATTAACAGTAAGTGCACTACGCAAACCCTGAAAGCTCAGAGAAATGAACTCACTCTTAGCCACGTGGCAGTAATGAGACCACAGCACTATCGGCATGTTGCCATTTTTCCTACGCTTTATCTGACCAGAGAAATACACAATGTGACCATCCCCAGAAATCACAGCAAAACCACCTCTGAAAAACCCTCCTTGCAGTGACTTGCGCATTCAGATGGCAACGCCAGAGCCTGAACCACCTACACCGTGAGGATTTTTGACCCACAAGAGGCTCAGTGCCAGATTCCCTGCTGTCCTGCTGAGGTCTCACTATTCCTGTTAATCTCACAGGGAAACCGCCCCCCCCCCCTTTTTTTTTTTTTTTTTACAGCGTTGCAGAGCAGTTGGCAGGGAAAGGAGCTGTAAAAGAACAGATGAAACAGACAAAATCCAAACCTCATCAACCTGCTCTTTGCCAAAACTGTCACTACATTTGTCACTTTGTGCTAGGTTACACTAATTTTAAGCTTTTTACTAATTATTACTCCTAATTTAATGATAAGATTTAGTGATATAAAGGAGCCATAATGCGTATTGCTTTAAATCCAGACAGATGCTATTTTTGCTCTTACGAATCAGCAATCCAGTTTACACTCAAACAAAAGCAAAGGCACCGACATAAGGACAGGTATAGGCAAGGAGGCTAGAATCAAAGAGCAGTCAAGAAGTCACCCTTACTGTACACACTTGTGTGTCTATTAGAGAAAAGCCAACACAGCTCCTGAAACAGGAGCAAAAATCTACTTTTTTTTAATTCATCAGCAGAAAAGATCACTGAATTGCAGCCAGGCAAGCCTCTAGCGAGTGGTGAAGTTAGGTAGCTGCCACCACAGTCCAATGAGAACTTTGTTACTAGCAGACACCTCAGGTGCAGAGCACGCTGGTGTAGCTTTCACACCTCAAGCTGTTTGATGGCTAGAAATCAGAAGAAAACTTATTTCCATACAAGCAGAGTACACTTGATATGAAAGCTTCTCATGCAAAAGTAGAATCCTACAGCATCTTTTTTTTTAACAGTCGCCTTTCAAAGTCAAATAGTTTGCTTTAAACCATTGCTAACAACTCACACGCAGCTACTTGCTTTAAAGACCTGAAAGGAATTCAAGGAAGAGACCACGTGTGACCACAGCACACCTTAAAACATTAAAAAAATATACCACCACCTTCAGCTAAAAGGGGAACATGGTAGAAACTACTGGATCTTCCAAGCAAGCATCTCAGGCTTGGATTACAGCCAGGGTCCCTGCACAGGTACCAGTGGTGTGTGTGAAAACCCCTTCACACGTGTGGGGAAGCCGTCTGGCTTCTAGCATCAGTTTTTCCCCTGCAGAGCCAGAGCAACTTCAACAATTAGTGCCAGAGCCTCCCTCTAAAGCTCAGTGAGAAGAAAAGCACAGTCAAAGGCTTGGATCTGAGAAAGGAAACCACAGAAGTGCCTTTCAAAGTTAGGAATGTCATTCCACAACGAGTTAAGCAAGCCCTACACTTTATTAGCTAGGGACGGGTGATGTTCAGACAGTTTGCCGATAACCCTGCACAGACGAACCGCTCCTCCCGCTGGCACAGGGCTGTCTGATCTGCACCTGGAGGCAGGCGTCCAGCCGAGGCAGGCAGGCAAGCTCTGAGCCGGCTGGGCCAGGTAACAGCAGCGAGGGAGATAAGGCCAGAGCCGTCGCACGGGCTGGGAGAAGCGTGTTGCTGGGTCCACTGCAGGCTCTGGCACAGGCTGTGGCTGAAACCCCTGCCCTGTCCTCGCTGTGTTACTGTGGGCACTCTGTAGGTTACAGCCTGAGGCCCTGGTCGGTCTCTTGGGGAGATGCAGCTGTGTTTTCATACAAGGAACCTTTGCATTTTTAGGCAGCAGTGCCTGTATTTCTATACTCTGAAATACACCTGAAGCGCTCCTACTTTTATCTGAGCTTTTAAACAGTTCCTGGAAATTTGAGCTGTAGCCATCTCACGCAAAAATCTGCCTTTCGTCAAGTGCGTTCTCAGTAGAGCACCTGCAGAGCTGCATGACACCTGCAGAGGAGGAGGAGGAGGCAAAAAAAGATTTAAGACATTTTCTTTCAAATGTGATCTATACATTTTGATACATTAAAGGTGACCTGTAAGAATAAGATGCAATTGTTTTGTCCTCCCTCTTCATGATACTAAAAAAGAGCTTTTAAAGGTTGTGTTGCTTGGAGTTTTTGGGGAGGCGGGAAAGAAGTAACTTAATTAATTTGTAATTCACAAGTGTGAAACCATTCAGATGTCTTCTGACTTTCCTACTAGGCAACTGAGAACATCTTGGATTTTAAGTCAGAGGCTGCATCAAAGGTACCACATCACGCGTAACAGTACTCCCACAAACGGTGTTATCTGGGATCCTTCCAGCCTTGTAACAGCTATTAACATGTCTTGGGAACAACCACATTAAAAAGATCAACTTCTGTTTTCACCTCTCTGCCATCTTCATTGTCTCAAACTCCATGTTCCCGGATTTGCCTCTAAGACCATAAGCTCTGCCTTTGAAATTGCCTTTGGTCTGTCACTGTATCTTCAGTTATCCTCCCAAATCCCTCTGTGCATGAACCACACTCCTGAACAGGTCCAAGAACCTGCTACTCACTTCTAGTTAAAAACACAGTTCAGTAAGTACCCATGGCTGGGCATCTGCCAGAGCACGTGCAGCAGTTTACAGGTTAAGAAATTAGTGATTTGCTGTAGTATCTTCCTGAACTGGGATTTAAATCCTCCTGCTCCCACCAGACCCACTTGTGTCACGCTTCTAGGAAATTAGAGTGCTCAGTGCGATCCGGCAGGAAAGCCAGTGGTGATCTGCCTTACTGGGGACGCCAGAGCAAGCTCTGCATTGCTGCCGTTTGACTCTGAGCAGCCATGAAGCGAGGACTCACTTGCGGTTGCACAAGAAGATGAAACTGTGATCCTCAGGAAGTTCCTTAATTAAATCAGCTTCATTCACAAAACTTAAGTTGATTTCCAACACAAGAGTATTTCAGATCCCTCCTGCTGAGGTCAGAGAGTCGCCTGCTTTCAGGTCTAGTATTAATCCCAACACTTGCAGGCAGGGAGCTGAAGGTTTCTGCCTTTCCCTTCAGAGAAGCACACATTCCCACAAAAGAGCAATCATCAGAGCCTCCCATTTAACATCTACTGGAGTATCTGGATTGCAGAAAGTGACACAGGTGTACGTGGGGGTACAGTCCACTGCTACTCAATGAAGGATCTATTACTTCAGAAGGCAACCACATACACTCCCGCAGGGTCAGGAGAGGCAGCTGCCTCTTCCAGTAACAAATGGAGGAGCTCAAAACCCATCCTGAGTCAAAACAAGCTGAGGCAAAATAGCAGAAGACTTTTTAAGCTGCCTAATAAGGCTCATTAGGTTTCTTTTCTAGGTTTTTTCTGCAACAGTAGCAATGGATGCTTCTTCCTACGTCTGGGTGCAACATCTTGTGTACTCTTATCATGGTACATATTCGTATCACAGAAAACAGAGAAGAATTCGAGGCTGTGTTCCTTTAAGTCTGAACAACTCAATGCATCAGCCAGTCTTCCAGGAAAACCAAAAAAACTTTGTATTTCTGATAATCACAAGACTCAAAGTGTCAATTAAAAATGTTCTGGGAAAAGCTTGCAAAGTGTAATACATCCTAAAGAATAGCAGATGGGGATATGGCTCATCACTTTCAAAGGCTATTTTCATAGATTTGACAGATGTATTCAGAAATACAGAAAAAAATATAATAAATGCTAGTTTACAGCACAAGGCTTTCAAGCTATTTACACATAAAGACTTACTATTCCCAAATAAGTATAAGATGGAATCTTTAGTCAAACCAAGATTTTTATTTAAAAGAGATTTGCCCAGTAAAGCTAAACCAATGACAACACCCAGCTACCTTACCATTTTGCTTTTTAATACCAGTATTAGTATACACGGAATACAATTGTTAGTTTGCAATGTAACAGTTATTTAAGAATCTTAAAAAAAAAAAAAGCTCAAAAAATCGTGTTAGCAAATGCAAACTCTAAATTACCTACTTTTTGATAGCACAAGCTAAGAAAGGCAATTCCTCAAGACAAAAGAAACCTGGGCTAGACAGCATGCAGCGCTATAAATTTTCCTAAAGCTAGGAAGCCCCTATGCATCGCCCTCAAAATCATCCCAAGACTGAACACAAAGGTTATCAGAAATGCCTAAACTCATGTGGGTTCCATTATACACCACTTACTGCAACCTACTTTTTAGTATTTAGCATTTCGGTATCAATAATGCATAATGCTAAAAGTAGTTCAACCCAAAGTACAGTTGCGAGAAAGCAAACACGGGTCTCAAACAAGGACCAGCTGAAGCGTGGTGTCACTGCTGATCTTGCCTTGTGTCCCTGTGCAGGAGGACAGCAGGACAGTCGCTGGGGCTCTCCATACATTAACTGGGAGCTGGGCACCTGCCCCATCTGCGGAGGGAGAGCTCGCGGCCATACAGAGAATGAATGCAACACCATTGCCTACTGGTGAAAGCAAGCAGTGAAGCAACCTCCGTCAGTCTGATCCCATCTCCCCTGGTACACGACCCAGCTGCTCAAAAAGGCACACTGCTGCCCAACCCAACGCACACACCAGACTGCGCATGCCAGCCAAACCAAACCGCACAAGGCAGCGGCCAGGGTTCCCACCTAGGCTTTTATTACCACCCCTCCTACCTTGACTCATCACTAAGTGCTCAATGAACAAGCCTACATCACTCCCCCCCCTCCCTGCCCCCAGAGATTGCTCGTTCTTCACTGGATAAATTATTTACCATGAAAGAAATGAAGGTGGCCAGCAGGGGAGAGCAAATTAGAGTACGGGAGTTCATGAGACTGGGCTGCTACGAGACAGCGTTTCAGCTTTCACATGTATTCCCTACCCAGCTGCTAAAGCAGCTTTATTGCCAATCCTATTTAGGACAAGAAACAAATGGAGTACGGAGCCTCCAAAGCTCGCTCCTTCATGCAGAATTAATTTCACCTTCTATTTTCACTTCCTTCCCTGCTTCTCTCAGTTTGTGAGAGTGTGTGTTTCATAATCTCAGGTGATTAGTGTGGGCACTTAGAAAGCACACTAGAAACAACAGAATTGGAACCCCTTAAAGTTTTTCACAACAAAATTTATTAGAAGAATAGTGGTTTTGAAAAGTCTAGCATCCAGTGAAAACTACCATACACAATGTTACAGCTGGGAATGTGTTTCCAAAATGACATGGTCAAATAATACAATGGAGCCATTAAATCTTACACATGCACAACAAGAGAATTAGCGCTTTGACATACAATGCAAAAAATAAATGGACCACATGAAATAAAAATTTAAAAGTACTTATCACATACATTAAGACACAGCTTATTTAGTCCAGTCAAAAAATCAGAACTGCATTAAAAAAATTAATGTAGTGCAATCAAACAAAAAAAACCTTAATTTGTGATCATAAGTGCTCTACTACATAAAACATTGATCATAGCAAGGAACAAAAAACTCAAATCACACAGTACAAAAAAAATCTGTAAATAAATATAAACTACAGTACAAGAGAAATATTAAATTATACAATTCCGTCAAACTGTAAACAGTATATTGAAATGAGGTCCATAAGAGTAAAGGGGGGGGTTCCTGTTTATTTTTTTTCCCATGACACTTGAACTTCTAGAGGTCAGAGAGAAATGCCATTTTCCATACTCTTCAAAGACTATGGGTTACATAAATAGAAAGAGAAGACTTTTAAGATGTAAAGTGTCAAATAACAAAGCAGAGGTGTTGCTGACCCGCAACTGCCAACAGATCACAGATCAGAACAGCAGAATTTACTGCAAAGCTTTGCCTCCTCGCGAGCACAGGACAGAGGCCCGTCACTGCAGATGTTAAGGGCCAACACTTTCTGAACTAGTGCTCAGCGTTAGAGAGGAGACACCTGCTGAGGGCCTGGTCCTACCAGTTAGGTGGAAGCGATGACACCGTTACCAGCTTGGACCTCTGCTGATTATCTGACAGGTTTACATGCTTGTCATACAAACACCAACTTTGGCAGAACAATTACTAATAAACTCAAAGCACTCCGGCCCATTGGTTTCCATCACAGTGGCCAGTGCACAGAATTCTCTAAGGACATTGCATAACTAGTGTGTAGAGGTCAGACAGCCAAGGACCCGTGCTTGAGGTTAGAAGTAGTTATGGTGAGAGAAAAGAAAGAGCCACGTTAAGAAGCTGCCTCTGCCGTTTGCAGAAGCAGTTGGGAATGTATTTCATTTTTAGCTGCGCTGGCTAGTAGTGGCATTTTAAAATATATAAGTTTAAGATAACATATATACTATATATGTATATAATATAATACATATTATATAATATACATAGGAATTTCTTACAATACATACCAGGAACCCCCACGCGATCTGCTCAGTAGTAATAACTGAATATACAGAATGCCACTATAAGTGTCTGAGGCACTGTGTGCTGGAGAGTAAATATGCAGCTTTAAAATCCGTTTGGCTGAGTTATACCTGGATACCTGAACTGAGTTTTAAGTTGACATTCATCAAGGATGTGCTATCAGCACGTCAAAAGAAAAGCAAAACAAAATACAAGTCACTGCTAGGTTTAAGAAGAGTACAAGTACCTGAATTGAGTGAGGATAGTGTGTAAACTGTCCCTGAGGGTTTTTAAACAGTGTGTGTACAAGTTGGATTCCTAAGAACATTAGTTTAAACTTACATTGCGGACTGATAAAATACCACTGTCTGACAATTTAACAAGTGGAGGTTAGAAAGAGTTATGAGCAAACACTCAAAACATATTTTATACATTTTAAAGCAGCAGTAAGCTGCTGTAAGCATACATCCCATCAGTACAAGCAACACATGGGACTGAGATAAAGGTTTCTATTTGCAAAAAGCCCATCATATATCGATAAGTAAAGAATATTCACCTGCTAAATTAGAATGCACCTAGTTACAGACTAGCAATTCAAGATTAATTTTTTTAATCAAATACTTTGCTATACTTTGCTATTACATACTAAAATTCCTTAAGCTCACTAATGCTGGTATTCTAATCTATTTTTTTTAATGTTCCCCCTTCATTTAAGAAATACACCATTCAACAACTTAAACGTTAAGATCCATTTTCAGTCCTCAGATGTAAAAAGCATGTCAATGAGTTTATATTAAAAATTTACACGGTAAAAAGGCTTGAATTTCAGCCAGAGATTCTAAACACTACTCATTCCCTGAAGGCATAAGGGAGAAAGAATCCCTACCCACTTTTCTTGTGATACAGTTTTCAAACTGAACATTAAACAATGGTCCAAAATGATTTTTCAGTTTGGGAAACTTCCCTTTCCCTA